GAGATTGGCCTCTGGCGGCGGAGACAGACAACTTCGCCGCACCTGCGCCGTTTCCGGTGTGTTGACCGGAAGCCGCGCTGGACCCAGCTGTAACATAGTGTGAAATATCCTGTATGAGCAAAATGTGATGATAATTAATTAATAGGCGCTCACATGTTTCCATATAGGTTAAGTGGTAGGTAGTCCAGGGTTGTGCTCGACTCAAAAAAATTTGCCGACTCGACTCATCATTCAACTTCAGAAAGCCCCGACTCAACTCTGACTCAAACAAGGAGCTGATTTTTTCCTTGACTCGACTCATGACTCAAGCGGCTCAATGAAAATATTGGTTGACTCAAACTTGACTCAATTTTTTGTTGAGCCAAGTTTGTTGACTCAAATTTGACTCAGATAAAAAAGTTGATGAGCGGGGGGGGGGGGGGGTGAAAAAAATCCGGCAGCAGGGCCAGGCCTAAGTTGTTAAGCGGGGGTGGGGGAGAATGAAAAGCTTATACATTGTTTCTAGAAAGATGAGTCAGCTGACTCATGTTCCTAAATGTTTTTGACTCAACTCAATGTCAAAAGTTATTTTACTGACTCAACTATGACTCAACTCAACACCTTAATATTTTTGTCTGACTCAACTCTGACTCAACTCAACAGCTCAACATTTTATCCGACTCGACTCAAACCTGACTCATCTGAGTCAGAGTTGAGTCAAATCTCTGACTCGACTCATGAGTCAAGCACAACCCTGGTAGGTACACCTGCTCAAGGAAGGTCGCACATACAGTTCCCAGGCCACGGTCAAAAGAACTACCTACTTTATCCTTGAGGCCGAGAAGATTAACTTTGTTTTACACCCTTCCAAGCAGAGAGTGTATCCGGAGTTAATCTATGTCCATTAAATGAATAAAGGCACATTTCACGAGGGTGCTCACTGCTCATGTGTGTCGTATATGCCGAACTTCAACTCCATCTTTCCCAGTCCCACTCAATCTCAATCTTCCCTCACTAGCACTTGATCCCTCGACCCTCTTAGCCTCACCATTTCTTCCCTCAGCAATAGTTCCACCCAATTTCAGTCTTACCCCACTCTACTCTATTGCCATTCTATCCTCCATCAATCTTACCCCATTCTTGTCCTACCTCGTCTTCGCTGGAATCATCCAGAGCCACGTGGTACCCGCCGTCAACTGCCATCAACTCTCCGTCGTCTTCTTGGTTCACTTTGAAATAACGATAACTTCCCGTCCTGAAAACATCATTGGGAGTTAGTGGGTAAGAACACTTTTCTCTCTGTACCGTACCAAAGTTCTTTCATTCGAGTTTCATTCATTTCATTCATACCAAAGTTCTTCCTAATATTGAAAGCATTTTGCAATTACGTGGGACTAGGTACCAAATGCAAATGACCATACATAATATGCATAGGTCAGCTCTCCTTCTACTCATGAAATCAGACATGACTTCTGAAAAATGTAATATATCCGATCCGGTAAATTTACGGCGGGGGCTATGTGCATTGTGCAATGTGGGTTCTCACAGCGCCTATACCGTGCCGCAATACCCGGGCATAATGCGGCACAGACTACCTTCCAGGCGCGTATGTGTGCTGCCATCTGTTGCCAATAGCTGTAACTGAAAGTATGGATGGCAGACGCTAGGTGAGTATTACGCAGTACGCGCGTAGGTATGCATACTGAATTTACTGATCTCAGGCAGCTTTTGCCAAATTGTCAGGGAACTCAGATTTGTTTTTCAATAGAAAAACACAATTCTAAAGAATAGTGTTTTAACTATTGACAACAAACCTTCGGTTATGATGCAAGTACCTACGCAGTGTATGCGTTCAAAATAAAGGAACTTCATCAGCATGATGACATAGGAGAAGGAGCAGGGCAGAGGTTAGGTTATGGTCTTCCCGCTTTTCAGCCAAACTAGTAACCTGAGTGAAGTCTGAAGTTTTCCTAAAACACAATTTTAGGTTCGGAATGATTTAAATGTGGACCAATCCCTACTTAATAAAGAAAAGTTTTGCTGAATCCCACTATCTATGGGGCTTTTGGGACTACTAATGAGTCTGAAAGGCGTCCACAAGTTAGTGACTTCAAAATTTGCTTTTCAATAGGAAAGCTAAGTTAGGTGAGCACGTGACAGGTGGCAGAAATGCAGTCGCTAACAGCCTGGCTAGCACCCACCTGTCTTTGAAGAAGGCTCGCCGGAGCACGCGTCGCAGTCCGAAGGCGGCAGCAGCACTGACAAAACACAGCGCCAGCACCAGTGTCAGCGTGAGCAGCGGATGAGAGGCTGACTTGCCGGCCGCCGCCGCCGCCGCCATATGGGTCTCTGGCCGCCTCCACCCGCGGCGCACCCGCCTCCTCGGAGCTGTTGGAGGCCGGCGGCGGTGAGGACGGCTGGCTCGGAGTGGAGTCCGGCCTGGTGCTGAGCGCAGCGGCCAGCGGCGTCCAGAGGGCGGCCAGCAGCAGCTGCTCGACGCTCGCCATCTCGGCAGCTGGCCAGCTGTGCTCGCCGCCAGCGCCGCCCGACGGCCGCCGCCGCCACCAGCTGACCGCCGCCCGGACGGAAATCGATGGCCACGGCCGCGGCGGCGTCTCATGGCGAGGAGCGGCGGCCGCGCGCGCAGCACCGCGCCGGCCCGCGGCGCCAACCTGTGGCGGTCCGGCGCGGCGCGGCGGCTGAGCGGCGACCGATCTGCGGCCGGCCGACAGCAGCACTGGGTGGTCCCCCGGCGGGGACATCGCTCACGACACGGCGGGGGAGGGAGGCGGCAGTCACTCGGGGCCGGCCGCCGGCAGTGACGGTGATCGGGCGGCGGCCCGGCCCGACACGGCAGCAGACGCCCGAGCTGATGGCCCGGAGACGGATCAGAGGGCGGGAAATGTGCCGAGAGGTGGTCACCGACCGCGCAGCCGGCGGGAGGTCGGGCACCGCCCGCTGCGGGCCGTCCAGCCGACTGTATCACATTGAGGACCGGACTGTATCCCACTGTAGGTCGACTGTCCCAGACTGTGAACTGACTGTGGAAGACAGACTGTGTCCGACTGTGCCCGAGCTGAAGAAGACTGCGGACGGCGCTTCCATAGAATGTGAACTTTCATTCGCTCTATTCTGAAGACTCTCGTTGTTGTGTGCTGCATTCTCTTGTGGCCTTCTTACTGCCTGGCTGTGGTCTGTTGAGTAGAGCCCTGTGTACTGGACTGCGCCGTATCCTGTAAATTGTTGACTCTGTCTGACTGTCGAATATGTTGATTGTGATCCACTGCTATCTGAATACCAGCAAAACAATATTGTTAAAATGTATACCTTAACCCTATTAGTGGCAGGGGGGGGGGGGTTGTTTTTATCCACCCCTCAGGTTTTTCGGGAATATCTCCGAAACCGCTGAAGCTACGATGCTGAAATTTTCTGACTTTTCCTAAAACTAAATTGGGCACATTCCCTGAAAAGTTCAAGTTCATAACTTTACCAGGGGCGGCTCCAGAGCACTGGGAATTGGGGGTCCTATTCGTGAAGCGAGTCATTTGGGCGAAGATCACGATGCTGCACCAGTTTTACGAACAGTGAATGAAAGGTATCATGTGATAACATATACAAAGTTATTGTGCATCCTCTTTTGACACGTTTTTGCTATAATAGTCGGATCCAGGCGTCCAAAAAGGGGGGTTATTTTTTACCTCCCAACATAGGTGCCCTGACACCGCCTATGCATGACCAATACAATTTTAGTCGCTCTCTCATCAGAAAATTGTAACATAACAAGACCATTGCCACCCTTTTTAGAAACAGTACCAACAAAAGCCTTATTTACTATACTTTTTGTGTACCCCCAATCTCAATGATCTGTATCCGCCTATGATTTTTGAAAATGCATTTTTAGGATCCATGTGAATTCCTGGTTCATTCTCTATCGATCGGCAAAAGTTGCGTTAAGATTGGTTCAGAAACCTGGCCGTGATAAACAGTCTAAAATGTATCTGCAATTTGCCCGTTTTTACCCCCTCTACCCTCCTATTGACATTTTTTAATTTTATTTTTTTAGAAATGTAGATCTCGTTGAGCCAAATCGAATGCCGTTTGAATTTTGAAAATCGGCCGGTTAGATCTCGAGATATCAAGGGGGGGGGTCGTAAACAGCCCCCCCCTGCCACTAATATGGGGTAGCCAGGAGCCTGCCACTAATAGGGTTAAATAGCCTTCTGAACTAGGATCACTCCCTTCAATTCGCAAAAGCTCACTTGTCGTTTTTCACCCTCGGCAAAGCGACATAATCTTCCCGTTTACAGAGGGGCCGCCGTATTCACGTGGCTGGAGGGACTGGCTCTCTCCCGTCTGCATAGGAGTCGTTCCCTTTCCATTTACGGAGAAATCGCTCCATGAGCGACGCTCAATGTCTATCGGCATTGAGGCCGTTTTCTTCCCATTGGTGGAGGGGTCTTTCTGCATCCACGGGCAGAGGGACCGCTCTCTGCTGGAATCTGATGAAGACTGTGAGAGATGACCGACCGCCCACTGCGCTGCCCAGCCACACAAACGGTCTTCCCTCGGCCCTCGTCCGCCCGTTTCCGGATCTCCCCGCTAAGCCACAGCTCGTCCAGCGGGGAGGCGGCAGTCGTGGCTCAGATCCGAGTTTCATATTATCGGGCATAACTCCCGCCCGGCCTGGTCATAGCTTATTTAAAAAAGTGAAGAAAATCCTGTGAATATAAGCTTCTAGAACTTCGAATATTTTTTCCTGCTGTCTTTTTTAACATTTATTGACAAACCATACAAATATGACACAAGTACCTAATAATAATCGAGGGCTCTCAAACCCAACAAGGACAGTCTCCGTCATGGCTTCTGACACGAAACAGCCGGTTTTCCGTCTATGCTAACGTTTTTTCCTGCTGTCACTTGCTTTCGCTCTTTTTTTTTGCTTTTGCCTTTTGCGTATGACTACTCAGTCGTAGATAGGCATATACCTAGTTATAAGGGGTGTAGTAAGTTATGACCATAGTTGTAGGATCATTGGCTATTACCGATTGTAAATGCTTGGACCGATGTAAAAGAAGTTGAAAATATAAGCTTAAAAGATTTCACACGTCTTTATTGACATTTATCCTGTATAGAAGTGACAATACTGAGTGCTTAGTTTATACCTCTGTCCTCTTAGCAACCTTGAAATAAGGTTCTGATATTGTCCTTTTCTTGCTACCCGGCATTTTTAGAACGAATACAGAAATAGAGAAAATGCGTTTAAAAAACACTACACCAATGGTCCAATAGTCACACCTGTATCACTCGTATAATATTATCCCTAAATAAGTCGAAATTTATCTTGTAACACAGCAATAACGCACACCAACGTCACGCTGTTGACTTCCTCAACTATGGAGAACCAGAGCAGTAGTACATATATGACAAATGACTCGTTGAGTCGGTTTTTGCTGCGGCACGGCGCGGTGCTCGGCCTGTGCTGCCGATGTCGCCCGTGGAATACGTGACGGCACATTACGCTAAGCTCCTTTTGATGTCGTCGGCGGTCATTTTTGCTGGTGCCAGCGCGGACAAAGCGCCGCACAGACTGGGGTGCCATTCATCAGTGCGCTGTGGCGGCGCGCCGGTCATTGGGGCTACACCGCCGGCCGACCACAAAGGGCCGCACAATCGGCCTCGGACCAGCGCGAACCGGCTGTAATGAACCAGCAGCACTGGGCACTGCGACTCCCGGCCCGTCTGAACTGACCTCAGCCCATCGGAACTCACCAGGGTATCGCCTGTGCCTGTAAACCACCCTGTCTTTCATCTGAGCCTTTACCCTGTCACTCCTGTCTGACTTTCTCCGCTCGGTCTAGGCTAAACTCGTTTAAATATCCTCGCGCAAGCTTTATGAAAATGTCCTACCCACCTTCCTTTCTCCCCTCTCTTTCTCTCTTTTCTCTGTCTCTATTTCTCTTACTCTCTCTCTCTCTCTCTCTCTCTCTCTCTCTCTCTCTCTCTCTCTCTCTCTCTCTCTCTCTCTCTCTCTCTCCTGTCTCTCTCTGTAGGTATGTCTTTCTATCTCTCAGCTCTCCCTCCCCTCTCTCTTCCTCTTCCTCTCTCTCTCTCCCTTTCTCCCTCTCTCCTCTCCCTCTCTCTCCTCTCTCTCTCTCTCTCTCTCTCTCTCTCTCTCTCTCTCTCTCTCTCTCTCTCTCTCTCTCTCTGTATCCACTTTTCTTCCTCGGCTCCCGCTCGCTGTCAGTCAAAGGAGTCTCAGTCCGTCCCGGTTACTTATCTCCTTTTTATGTCCACATTAAAATGTGTTTTCAGTCGTACTATTTTCCCGAGAAAGAAAAAGTGCATTATTCAGTGTGCATTGTATTTATTAGCTCTGAAGCTTCTGCCTGCTGAAGTCATTTTGAATTAGTCTAGCATTGTAAATTATTTTTTAATCCAATCTTACTTAACTATATACTTAGCGCGATACATTTTATTATCATTAGCTGGTTAGATGTCTTTAGGAGCGTGAAATTTTGCATCTATTGCAATTTCAAATGCTTTGCTTTTACATACCTGCCTTTAACCATCGCCCGTATGGGGGGTGGGGGGGGGAGGTCGAACGTACCCCCTCGGTTTTTTCGCGAATAGCTCGCTAAAAAGCGTCTGATCCCGACGAAACGCTCAGCAAGTACCCTCGCGTTGATCAATTTTACACCTACTCTGAAAATTTCATGACCATGACCCGAATGACCTTTGACCTGTGACCTACTTTTCGAGACCATGTTTGGCCGGAATCGCGATTCGGCGTATGTCGGCTCGTATTAGCCGCGCGTTTCCAGTCTTTTCGTCGTTTCAGGCGTTCAAACATGGAATATGATGTTGCTCCCATACATATTAGGGTGGGTGTCAAGGTCACCTGAAGGTCAGGTCAGGTCCTTGACCTTTGATGGCCTCGGTTCACTTATTCGAGTTTTACATGTTTTTAGGCTAGTTTTTGGAGCTGAATTCGAATTTAGCAACCATATGAACATATACGAAGTAGTTTCCTGACCCGACCTGGCCTAAATGCATGAAGACATCATCTGTGCTCAACACTAACATGATATTCGTGATCAGCACCCCGAAAACTCCATAGCAGCCACGCTTTACGACGTTCTCACAGGTCCCGATTTTCCCGACTTTTGGGTCATTGGCCTGACCTGGAAGGTCAACCAATTACCTAGGACCTTGGAATTGGGTATCATCGGCTTCCTCTCGTCACGGGCAACACGATCGTTTTTTTCCGCGAAGCTATAGCTCGATCATGGGCCAACCGGCAAGGGGGGTCCAATGGACATACGTTCGCGGCTGGAAAAACACCAA